TTAACGCACTAATACAATCCTCTAATTACCGACTATCATTAAGCCACTACTCTACGCAGCTAATACTACCTCTACTACCACTGCTACCACTACCACTACTGCTACTATTACTAGGAGTTTTTGCTTGCAGAGGAATTTCAGTTTGGACTTTGGCTATTTCATCTACCAGAACTGTCGCGTTTATAATGAACAGAGAGAAAAGTTCTAGTTCATTTCTGAGAAATGTGGCTTTTCCGCAAGGTTGAAAACAAAATTAAGAGGACTTTTTCTTTCTCTTTCGTTTCTTTTTCTTTTTCTTTCCATTCCACAATATTGAAAACAAAATTAAGAGCTTTTTTTCTATATCTTTTCTTTTTATTTTTTATCTTTCTATTCCACGAGATTGAAAACAAAATTTAAGAGAACTCTTCTCTCTCTCTCTCTCTCTCTCTCTCTCTCTCTTTCTTTTCTATTTCTATTTCACAAGATTGAAAACAAAATTAAGAGAGCTGTTTTTCTCTCTTCTTTTTCTTCTTTTCTCTTTCTATTCCACAAGATTAAAAACAAAACTGAGAGAACTATTTTTTTTACTTTTCATTTTCATTTTTCAACTGTTTATGTACCTCAATCCTATTGCGAACGACTGGCAAATTAAATGGGACTAATTTCATTATATCTTTTGTTTTTATGATATAGACTAAATATAAAATCCTCCTCTGACATATGTCACTTCTAAATTTATATGTGTTTACTACACACACATATCATACACACACATACACATTACACACACATACACGCAACGCACGCCACGCACGCGTGCACGCACACACCACGCACACACACGCCACACGCACACGCACACACACACACACGCACAACACAACACACACACACACACACACACACACACACACACACACACACACACACACACACACACCATGGTTTACCTTCAGCTCATTCCATTTTTTCCCACATGTCCACTTTTTCCTTCCCGAACTCTCATCAAAATTGTTTTTTCTTTTTTTGGAGAAAGAAAGGAAAAGAAAATGATGACTTTCTTTGCAGTGAAGGTACAGTGAGGGACCGAGTGACAGAGGGAGAGGAGAGAGAGAGAGAGAGAGAGAGAGAGAGAGAGAGAGAGAGAGAGAGAGAGAGAGAGAGAGAGAGAGAGGAGAGAGAGAGAGAGAGAGAGAGAGAGAGAGAGGAGAGAAGAGAGAGAGGAGAGAGAGAGAGAGAGAGGAGAGAGAGAGAGAGAGAGAGAGGAGAGAGAGGAAGAGAGGAGAGGAGAGAGAGAGAGAGAGAGAGAGAGAGAGAGAGAGAGAGAGGAGGAGAGAGAGAGAGAGAGAGAGGAGAGGAGAGAGAAGAGAGAGAGAAGGAAGAGAGAGGAGGGAAAGAAGACGGGGAGAGAGAGAGGGAAAGAGGAGAAGGGAAGGAGAGAGAGAGGGAGAGAAGGAGAAGGAGGGAGGGGGAGGGAGAGGAAGAAGAAAGAAGGAGAGGAGGAAGAGGGCAGGAAGAAAAAGGGGGAGGAGAGAGAGGAGGAGAGGAGAGAGAGAGGAGGGGAGGAAGAGAGAGGAGAGGGAGTGAGGGGAGAAGGGAAGAGGAGGGAGAGAGAGAGAGAGGGGAGGAGAGGGGAGAAGGAGAGAGGAGAGAGGAGAGAGAGGAGGAGAGGGGAGAGAGAGGGAGAAGTAGAGAGGAGAGAGAGAGAGAGAAGAGGAGAAGAGAGAGAGGGAGAGAGAGAGAGAGAGAGAGAGAGGGAGAGGGGAGGGGGAGGAAAAGGCGAGGGAGAGGAGGAGAGAGAGGAGAGAGAGAGAGGAGAGAGAAGAGAGAAGGAGAGAGAGGAGAGAGGAGAGAGAAGAGGAGAGAGGGAGAGGAGGAGAGAGAGAGAGGAGAGAGAGAGGGAAGAGTATGAAGGAGAGGAGAGAGGAGAGAGGAGGAGAGAGAGAGAGAGAGGGAGAGAGAGAGAGAGAGAAGAGAAGGAGAGAGAGAGAGAGAGAGAGAGAGAGAAGAGAGGAGGAAGAGGAAGAGAGAGAGAGAGAGAGAGGAAGAGAAGAGAGAGGGGAGAGAGGGAGAGAAGGGAGAGAGGGGAAGAGAGGAGGAGAGAGGGAGAGGAGAGAGAGAGAAGAGAGAGAGAGAGAGAGAGAGAGAGAGAGGAGAGAGAGAGAGAGAGGAGAGAAGAAGAGAGAAATATAAAAAGAATTAAAGACGAGGAGAACAGAAGGAGAGTGAACAGAGAAACCCAGAGAGAGAAGAGCAGAGCAGGACAGGAGGCGACAAAAAACCAGAGGGGCCACCATGTACCGGCCCCCCATGGAGGGAAGCCCGCAAGACGGTCTCTCCTGAAACGTTGTTTTGGCTTGCCCAAATAACGGAAGGAAAAGTGGAATAAGGAGGTGGTGGATGGANTCTCTCTCTCTTCTTCTCTCTTCTCTTTCTCTTTCTCTTTCTCTTTCTCTTTCTCTTTCTCTTTCTCTCTCTCTTTTCTCTTTCTCTCTCTCTCTCTCTCTCTTTCTCTTTCTCTTTCTCTTTCTCTTTCTCTTTCTCTTTCTCTTTCTCTTTCTCTCTCTCTCTCTCTCTCTCTCTCTCTCTCTCTCTCTCTCTCTCTCTCTCTCTCTTCGCTTCTCTTCTTTTCTGTCATTTCTGTTTTCTTTTCTATTTTCTCCCCTTCTCTCTTTCCTACGTTTCTTTTCTCTTTTTTTCTCTCTCTTCTCTCGTTCTTTTCTCTACCTCCCTCCCTCCCTCTCCTCTCCTCTCCTCCTCTTCCTCTCCCTCCCTCCCTCCCTCCTCTCCTTCTCCTCCTCTTCCCTCCCTCCTCCTCCTCTCTTTCTCATCCCTTTCTACTCCTATCCTTCTCATCCCTTTATATCTCCTATCCTTTTTTTTTACCCCCTCTCCCCTTTTGTTCAGAATGATAAGTTGAAATTTCCTCGTGACTCCGCGCGCTAAGCAGCTCTTCCGAAAATGGCCGCCGGGGTTGGGGTTATTCGCTGTTCTTCTGCTCTTCCGAAAGCATTTAAAACCCGTTCGTTCCCTCGATGGGCGGACGGGAACGTAGCGGTAAATGTACGCTATCTTTCCTCCCCTCCCCCTTTTCCACGTTTCCCTTTTCTCTCTTTCGTCTTTCCTCTTTGGTTCTGTCTTTCATTTTTATTTTCTCTTGCAGGTTATTTCGCGTTCTTTCCGTCTTCCTCTTTTTTTTTTTTTTTTTTTTTTTTTTTTCCTTTCCGTCTTCTCCTTCCCTTCTTCCGTGCCTGTCTCCCCATTTCCCATTTTCTCCTTCTCCCTTTTCTCTTCCTCTTCCTCCCTCCTTTCCCTTTTTCACTTTTCCTCTGCCTCCTCCTTCTCCCTCTTCCCCTTCCCCTTCCCTCCTCCCCCATCCTTTGCCTCCTTCCTCTCCCTCTTCCCCTTCCCTCTCCTCCCTCTCTCTCATCCCCCTTCCTTCCTCTCTTCCCTCCCTCTCCTCTCCCCTCTTCTTTGTTCCTTTTCCGCCCTTCCTCTCCCTCTTCCCCTTCCCCTCCCCCCCCCCCCCTAGTGATTAAACGTCTCGGACCCTTGATTGTGGGAACGGCGGCGAGCGCGAGCCTTAATGATCTTGTTTTTGCTGGGAAACAAGTCTTTACGCCTTCTCTCGCTCCCTTCGCTCCTTTTCTCTCTGGTTTATCTCTCCCCTTCTGTTTTTTATCACTGTTGATGTATCTATTTCTGGATCGCTATCTCTAATTTTTCCCTGATGTATTTATATATATAAGATGTATGTGTATATATGTATATATATATATATATATATATATATATATATATATATATATAAATTAATGAATGTATATTATATATATTATATATATATATATATATATATATATATATATATATATATATATATATATATATATATATATATATGTATATACATATGCATATATATGTGTGTGTGTGTGGTGTGCTGAACACCAATATTATTATTGTTTTGTTTTTGTTATTGTTAATGTTATTAACATCATTATCATGACCACTCCCTCTCATAATCACTATCGCCATCACCATCATCATTATTATCCCCCCCCCCCCCCCCCCCTTGTTTCCGGCGCTAACGCTGCCTTGTGTCCCGCAGGAGCATGGAGGAGGAGGTGGAGGGCGGAGGCACGCGCGAAGACTTCCTGAGCGAGGACGACCACTCCCGACCGACGCCTCTGAGGACAGCGTGGAGGTGCGCGTCCAGCCCATCCGCGCCCACCACCCCCACCGCCCGCCCACCCCGCCCACGCCGCCCGCCCACCACAAGTTCCACAAGTTCCGCAAGCACTACTCCGCGCTGAGGCAGGAGTACCCGGTGCACGCCGCCCGCGCCTCCCCAGCGCCCGCCAGTCCGCCCGCCAGCCCCGTGGAGCCGCACACAGGCGCGGCGCCGCTGTCGCCCGGGACGCGCGCCGCAGCCCGCAACCGCCGCAAGCCCGCCGAGCCTCGACGCCTGTGCCACGAGGCGGCGCCCAAGCGCCCGCACAGCCCCGACCCGCCGCGCGCCGCGAAGGCCGCCCGCACCGATGGCGCACCGACGTCTCCGAGAAGAGCGCGCCTCGTCGCCGTCCCCGGGGGCGCCGCCGCTCCTGCAGCACCACCCACTGCTCAGTTCCTTCAGGAGGCCGCCCATGGGCGCCTTCCCGCCCCTCCTGATCCCGCCCGCGTGGCCGCCCGTCACCGCGCAGTGGGGCTACCCGCGGGTGGTCAATCCCTTGGGGTGGGCGGGGCTCACGCCCGGCCTCACGCCCCCCTCAGCCCGCACCACTACCCCATGCTGCTCCCGCACCCGTACCCGCTGCCGCGGCCGCTGCTCCCCTCGCAGCTGCCGCCCGCGTCGCCGCCGCCCAAGTCTCCGCCGCCGCGGACGCCCCGGGGAGCGCGCGCCCGCGACGACCTGCCGCTGCCGCTGGTGACGCGCGTGGCGGCGGCGGAGGGGCCGAGCCCGAGCGCGGGCGCGCACCCGCCGCGCGCGCCGAGGTGAGCGTGGTGCGCAAGGCGGGCAAGGCGCCGTCCAAGTTCCTGAGCGTGGAGTCCCTGATCGCGTCGGACAGCCCGTCGCGGGCGCCGGCCGACGGCGAGGACGACGTGGCCGGCAGCATGGGCGGCGACGCGTGCCCGCCCGACGACGACGACACCATCCACGCCCTGCTGCAGCCCAGCAAGCAGAAGCAGCGCAACTACAAGAACATGACGCGGGAGCGGCGCATCGAGGCCAACGCGCGCGAGCGCAACCGCGTCCACACCATCAGCGCCGCCTTCGAGAAGCTGCGCACGTCGGTGCCGGCCTACAGCCACAACCAGAAGCTGTCCAAGCTGTCGGTGCTGAGAATAGCGTGCTCGTACATCCTGTCGCTGTCGCGCCTCGCCGGCCACGACTACAGCGCGGGCGGCACCGAGCCCTCGTTCAGCGAGTGCGTCGACCTGACGACGCGGACCATCCAGGTGGAGGGCAAGGCCAAGAAGAAGCGGGACGAGTAGGCCGCCGCCCTCGAGTGACGCCCGCGCCCCTCAGTCACTCCTGTCCCTCCCCACCCCAGTGATCACATGCCCTCGAGGGCTTCTCCCCCCCAGTGTTACCACGCCCACAGTGACACGCCCACAAGTGGCCCCAAAACGTTCAGTGACTCAAGTTCGAGATAGTCCCACCGAGTGACAACTCGCATATTTATTAGTGTATTTTAAATGCCGAAAGACCTAATCTGTGAGAGAAAAGTATAGTCTATTAGAATTCCAAAAGACAAGCTATTTGTACTAAACGTGTGTTCTAGTCGAAGCGCGAGGCCCGGTCCGCAGCCGCCGTGTGCTCCGCAGGATCTGCCGTGAAACACAACAGCCGTCCGCCTGATGTTTGTCCTGTTCTGCTCGTTGTCCGTCTCGCGCTCCTTCGGGAGGGAACCGACCTCCCTCCGCGAAGGGCCGTCCGCGCGAGCCCCTCCAGGAAAGGCCTCGTGACCCCGTGACTCCGCCCCCAGCGCCCCGCCCTTCCAGGCCTCCGTCAGCCCGTCGAGGGGCTCCTCAAGCCGGCCTTTGCTATAGACTTTGCAACTTCAGTATACCACAATGGTCTTTGGTTAGGAACATCGATTTTTTTTATAATCTCATAACAATAAGGTGCTCACCAAAGTACACTTTAGCTTTGTGTGTCGATGTGTGTTATAGTATAAAACCCGTAAGCCGTTTTAAGGGCCTGTGAGGCTTGTAAGGCTTGCAAATCGTGCCCCCAAAAAGTGGACGAGTTCGGGCTCTCCTGTCTCCGCCCCCCACTCCCCTCCCCCCACGTCCCATCGAAGCTGTCCTTATTGTCGTTGCGTGCGAGGGGGGGGTGCAGGGACAGGAGGCCCGGAGTCGTTCAGGATTTTTTTTTTTTTTTCACTCGTGTCAGCCAGAGCATTCCTATGTCCCTACTCTGGTTGGAATTTTGACTAATGATTTCTAGTGGTGATGTCAAGCTCGCAAAAGACTTTATGTACTGCAGAACAAAAGATCAATTCAAAATTTTCACTTCTCCGTAGCTATCACAACACATTTTGCGCATAATGAGTGATGAATACATTTTTTCTTTCTGTCTTTTTTTTTGCAAGTAGAGTCATTAGTGTATTGGTGAATCATAAAAGCATTATTTGCGTTGGCACCGCCGCTGGGATGTTTTTGCTGCCTGCTCTCATAGTTCAAATTTCCCCCACAAGATGGCAGCAACGACAGCCCTCGTTAGAAGTCAGGTATGCGAGACGGGTCAAAATATACAGATAATTTTACAATTTACCATTTCTGTATGGCCTAGCACATCCCATTTGTCAAAATACCAGTCAAAAATCTTTGTATTAGTAGAAAAGAGGGAACGAAACTCCCACACAGTTTGCAAGGCTGCAGTTAAAAAGAGTTATTTATTTTTTAAAATGTAGTTGTGGAAACTGCGGTGTTCGAGTTTTAAAATTCTGGATTCCATGTAGAAGCAAAAATAATTGATCTGATTAATCATAAATGGCGGAGGACAATCTGAATTTTATAGTACAGATGTATTTTTTCTGAAGCGTCAAAACAGATTTTGTCAAATAACTGTTAACTATTAGATGAAGAGATACATGATTCCCTAGCTATCAATCTTCTGGTTCTTTTAGCTATCATTTAGTAAATGTTCTATGGACACTTTATTTTCTTCCTGTGTCATTATTTTACCACATTTTCCCTTATTCTCTCTTTTTCCGCTTCGACTTTTGAACATTTTTCCCGCTTGTACGGCTGACTCCGAAACCTCATACACAACTCTGGCTTTGGCCTCGTTGTATATCCGCAACTTCCACCAGAACTGTACAAATTAACTAGCCACTACCTCAATCAGGCACAAAGACAAATCAAATAGAAAAGAAAAGAAAACCAGACATGTAAAAGGGTGAGAAGACTCGCAAAAAAGAGTAGTTAAGCCACCGCACGTGCATCGCGACGCGGCCCCCCACGTGTCCAGGCAACAAGGAGACGCAGAAGCCCGGGAAAGTAGTGAACAAACACCCGTCGTTGGTATTTAGGCAAATGGAGGGGAAACAGCTGACGCGCCGCTGTGCCGAGGGGGCGGGGCGAGGGAGTCTCAGGGGCGTGGAGAGAAGGGGGAAAATTGAACCGAGGGGAGGCGAGGATGTCAAGAATGGGGTTTCGAGGAGGGGGAGGGGGAGGGTAGGGGAGGGTGGGTAGCTTCTCGAGGTACTGGTATTTTCAAGCCAGATGGTGTGAGTTGTTCATGTGGAGTGTTTCGGATAATTTTCCCTCCTTGGTATCGGATTTTAGAAGAAATTTGGTTAGGAAAATAGAGACGTATTTCATGCCATGGCACTTGTTTCTCTCTTGCACCCCTTCTCCCCATCATTCCGTTTCCCTTTCCGTTATTGCGTCTCCCCTTTGCCACAGCCTCCGACAAACGTCCCTTAGCCTCTCATTAACACTCAACCTCCCCCACCCCTCCTTCCGTCCCCTCGCCCCTCGCAGGCCGTATCAGTCACAGGGAGGGCCACCCCGTCCCTTNAAGAAAAAAGAACGTACAAAAGAGGAGAAATCGAAAAAACATGAAAGACTTTTCAAAAACTTCATAAAAATACTATATCAAATTCAACCATCTAAAAAAGAAAGAAAGAAAAAAAAAAAGCCATTCCCCCGGCATAATTCTCTCCAGCCGAGGATAAAGAGATCACGAGAATTATCCATAAATAAAAGCATAGCTCTAACCATCAAGTGTGGATTGAATATTCGGACTTATGAGAAATCTGAATTAGTTATAGGTAAAGAAGGAAGAAGAGCAAGATATTGGAAGACGACCAGAGAGAAGATATAAAGAGTGTTGTTCTATTTATGATCTGCCATGTCTAGATAATGTCTTTATAATATCCTATAATATGATAATTGGAGATGAACACCTTAAGATTTGATATCTTGTCGTTCAATCTTAAGTATTATTTTGTATGTACTTAGTTCCCTCACTCCTGATTTGTCTATTAGTCGTTGTAAATCTTTTATATACGAAAATGGGTAGTATCTGTATATCGCTACAGTCCACCCAGGACACCTAATTCTTCTGCTCAATACAATCACCAGATAACCCCAGCTAAGCTCTCGCACGCACAGATCTCAAGTCAGCGTCCTGTAACATACGCTACGAATCCACAAATATCCATACTGCGTACCATAGAAATAAATAATGTGTTAATAAATATACATACAGAGTCATAAAAAATGCTATATACTTGTCTGATATCGTATATGTTGAAATATTAGATATTCTAAATGTAGATTTGATAAGCTCATAAATGTCTTTTTATTGTGTGTGTCTGTTTATTGTTGATCTTCTCTTTTTGTATTATAGTTTGTTGTCTGTGATCGTCATTTATCATTAAACATCCGTATTGCAGGTAATCTGCCCAGTTGAATGTCTTTATATCTTTATCTTTGGGATGATATATTTCGGTCTGCATCTCTGTCTGATAGTTCTTTGATATCTAATCTTAGCCATATATAATCTATAGCTTTTCCTGCTAGCTTATTTATATATGCATAATCTATATTTCGTATATCTGTATCACGTGTATCTATATCCATATCTATATTCATATTCTGTATCTATATCCATATATGTATTTTATTGTTTATTCTGAGTTATGTATGTATGTACCGTGCACATGCAAGTCAAACATGTACACTATGTATTTACATATATGTATGTTAAACTCTTCTTTTGATATTGTATACCTTTCTGTCCCTCCCCTCTCTTCTCTTTCTCTTTTTTTCTCTCTCTTTCTCTTTTTTTCTCTTCTTTCTCTTCTCTTTTCTCTCTCTTTCTGCTTTCTCTCTCTCTCCTCTCTCTCTCTCTCCTCTCTCTCTCTCTCTCGCTCTCTCCTCTCCTCTCTCTCTCTCGCTCTCTCTCTCTCTCTCTCTTCCCTCCCTCTCTCTCTTCTTTTCCTCTTTCTCTCTCTCTTCTCTCCGTCCTTCCCTCCCTTCTCTCTTCTTTCGTGCCTTCCTTCTTGCTGCTACCTCCTCCCCCTCTCGTTCCCTCCCTCCCTTCCCTCCCACCTCTTATCCTCTCACCCCTCCTCCCCCCTCTCCTTGCGCAGCCTCCCTCCCTCCCCACCTCTGTCATCCTCTCACCTTCCCTCCTCCCTCCCTCCCTCCTCCTTCCCCCCCCTCTTTCATCCGTCTCAGCCCCTCTTCTTCCCTCCCTCCTCTCTTCCCACCTCTTCATCCTTTCACCTCCTCCCCCCCTCCTTGGCGCAGCGCCTCGCCCGCCTCCTCCTTCATCCTCCCTCACCTCTCTTCATCCTCATCAGCCCCTCCCCCCCCTTCTTCACCTTCCCTCCCTCCCATCCCTCTTCATCCTTTTCACCCCCTCCTTCCCTCGCCCCCCTCGCCTCCCCACCCTCCTCCTCGTGCCGCAGCCTCTCGCCACCTCTTCCATCCTCTACCCCTGCCCCCCTCCCCCCCCCCTCTCCTGCCCCGCAGCCTCCATTCCAATCCCCACACCTTCCTTCTCCTCCCTTCCCCTCCCTCCCTCCCTCACCCACCTCTTCGATCTCTCACCGCCTCTTCCCTCCTTCCAACCCCTTCCCTCCCCACCTCTTCATCCTTTCACGCCCCTCCCGCCCCCCTCTTCTCACCCTTCTCCTCTTACATACACTCCGCCCTCACCTCTTGCCCATCCTCCTCGCCCCACCTCGCTTCTCCTTCTGCCCTCGTCCTTCCCTCACCTTCCTCTTCCATCCTCTTCCACCCTTCCTCCCATGCCCTCTTCACGTCCCATCCTCTTCACTCTCTCCCCCCCTCATCCTTTCACCCCCTCCCCCCCTCTCCTTGGCCGCAGCCTCCATCCCTCCCCCTCTTCATCCTTCACCCCTCTCTGCCCCCGCCCTCCTTTCACCCTCCCTCTCTGCCCCCCCTCCTTTCACCCCTCCCTCCCCCTACCCCTCCTTGCGCAGCCTCCTCTCGCCCCTTCCGCGCACAAG